GCAAGGAAGACCCTTCTGCAACTCTAAGCAACCAGATTTATAATATAATTAATTTTTCTGCTTGTCAATTCATGCACTGCTGCTTTAATTTGAAATAAGGTTTTATTAAGGACTAAGCTTGAGAAACGTCCTCTTACCATTTCACTGATCATAGCAAGAGGCAAATTTCCCCATCCCTCTTGGATGCGGGCCGTTTCTGGTCCTCCGGCTGGTCTGAATTTGAAGAAAAGGATTTAGGAATAATCCGGGCTGAGGGTTGATGAATAGTTCCAAAAGAAGCGTATTCCAACGGATTTCACCTTTGTTTTTCTTCAGCTGACGCAGTCCAACTTGTCCTATTAATCCACAATCGTCTCGTGATCCTCGCAGGTCCCGTTCGTTGCCTCCTCACACGAGTAGTGGTCCCCAAACAGCGGAGTTTTCACAGAAACATCTGTTTATATAGCTTGAGATTTTGACTGACATCTCCAGACTGATCATGCCATCGGGCAAATCCAACCTCTTCTGGGTTGGATTTAGGTCAGAATTTACAGGCCTCTATGAGGTTTTGCCAGTCACTCCTCATGCATATTAAAATCTGGGTGTACTTTGTTCAATTTTGCTTAGTCATTCTTGAGTTGTATTGTTCTGATTCGCTCAGAGCTGTTTTCAAGGCTTGCCTTGCGTAATACCTCTGCTTGTGTAACTTTTTCCACTCACACCTTCCTTCTAGAACATTCGTGAAAACACTGGGTCATTTCTTCAATTTTCAACATCATGAACAAGTTTAAACAGAATACATTCTCAAATCACAACGTTTATATCCTAAATCAGAAAGTTTTATTATCACTTGATTATCTACTTGTCTATTGATTATTATAAACACATTTTTCTCATTCATTTGAAAATTGGTAATTTTTATTAAAAAGAAAATATATCTTTCTGCTCCTCTGCTCCTCTCTCCTCTCTGCCTGCGTGTGTGTGTTTGTGTAGTTGTGTAAGTGTGTGTCATATACATGTGTGTTTATGTGGTGTGTAAGTGTATATGTTTCTCTACACCTGGTTTTCATTATCTCGGACTCCGAGGCCTTGAAGCGGGGCATGCCAAGACATGTTTGTCTTAGGAGCAGGCTGAACTCCGCACATCGGCTTCCTTGACACGCTTTACTTTATATATGCTTCCATTAGGTAAAGTTATTAAACAGCATGGGATACATATTCATTGTTATGCTGATGACACACAATTATATTTGTCCATTAAACCCAATGAATCCAATCAGCTACTTAGACTACAAGCATGTCTTAAAGGCATAAACACCTGGATGACCCTTAATTTCCTCTTTTTAAACACAGACAAGACTGAGGTTTTAGTTTTTGGACCTGAGCACCTTAGGAATGAATGTTTCAGTCTTTCTCCCTCCTTAGATGCATTAATCTGTCCTCCAGCTCTAATGTTAAAAATCTTGGTGTTATTTTTGATCAGGACATGTCTTTTATCCTCCACATTAAAAACGTTACTAGAACCTCCTTCTTCCACCTGCGTAATATCACTAACATTAGAAACATCTGATCTAAAGATGATGCAGAAAAACTGCTCCATGCATTTGTCACATCTAGACTGAACTATTGCAATGGTTTATTATCTCGGTGTCCAGATACTTCTTTAAAACGTCTTCAGTTGATCCAAAATGCTGCTGCCAGAGTCTTAACTGGAGTTAGTAGGAGAGATCATATTTCTCCAGTTTTAGCTTCTTTCCATTAGCTCCCTGTCAAATCCAGAATAGAATTCAAAATCTCACTTCTAACCTACAAAGCTCTCAACAACCTGGCTCCATCTTATATTACAGATCTTATTGTTCCATATTTTCCTAACAGAGCACTTCGCTCTCAGACTGCAGGTTTAATTGTGGTTCCTAGAATTTACAAAAACAGAATGGGAGGCAGATCTTTCAGTTATCAGGCTCCTCTCTTGTGGAACCAACTTCCAATCTCTGTCCGTGAGGCTGACACATTGTCCAGTTTTAAAACTAGGTTTAAGACTTTCCTTTTTGCTAAATCCTGTAGTTAGAGTTGGCTTGGGTTTCCTGAGCAGTCCCTTAGTTATGCTGCTATAGGCTTAGACTGCTGGAGGACAAACTGACCACACTTTTCACTCTGTTGCTGTCTTTACTTACTCTGCTCAACCTGTTTTGTATTTGTAATTATTTTTTCTATCCTTAACATGTGTTTTTTTGTCTTTCAGATACACCTGTACCTATACCTGGACCTACCATTCTGTGTTCGTCTGTCTCTCCTCCCTGTCTTCTCAACCAGCCAGTCAAAGAAAATGGCCGCTTGTCCTGAGCCTGGTTCTGCTGGAGGTTTCTTCCTGTTAAAGGGAGTTTTTCTTTCCACTGTTGCCACTGTGCTTGCTCAGGATGGGAGACTGCAACAAAGCCAAGATTCAACTTGTCTGCTGGATTCCTTAGATAGAGAACTTTACTAATTGGCTTTTATGTGAATGTTCCTGTAAAGTGCCCTGAGACAACTTTGTTGTGATTTGGCACTTTATAAATAAACTGAATTGAATTGAATTGAATTGAGAAAAGGCAGTTTAGAGACGGGACAGAAGTTGGAAAGGGAGCCAGAATCAAGATTAGGCTTCTTAAAGAGAGGGGTCACATCTGCTGTTTTAAAATACGATGGGACGAACCCTTTGTTCAGGGAGTTGTTAATTATCATCAACACTGTTGGACCAATACAGGCTAGAGTCTGGACAAGCAAAGAGGGAGGTAATATTGCCAGTGAACAAGTAGAACATTTCATTTTGGCAATTAATGAGGTCAGGTCATTTAAAATAATCGGAACAAAAGAAGACTATGACTCAGAACACTGAGGCTCATCTTGAAACATAGATGAGCTTGGAGATATATTGGATTTCAGGTCCATCACCTTCTTTATGAAAAAAATGAGAAACATGTTACAGTCATTGTTTGAGGTTAATGAAGCATGGTGCGCTGGGGGAGATACAATACTGCTGATAGTATCAAACAACACTTTAGGATTGTTTTGTTCAGGTGAATAAGATTGCTAAAATATGATGACCTGGCATCACTAACTGCCTTGTTATAAGCACCAAGGAGCTCCTTAAAATATTCCCGGTGGGCAACCAGACCAGTCCTCTTCCACAAGCGTTCTGTTTTCTGACAAGAGTGCCTGAGTTCTCGAGTTTGATTGTTTAACCAAGGTGAACAGCGGTAAACGGGCCCACAGCGGGTTTTGTAAGGAGCAATACTGTCAAGAATAGTAAGGCAGTGATCAGTAAAAGAGTCAACCAGAAGCTCCACATCATCATCATCATCATCAGGAGGTATTGTAAATGAAAAGAGGGAAGAAAACTCTGCGACTACAAAACTGTCAATAAAGCGTCTGCGCTTACTGGTAACCTGAGGAAAAGTCTCCAAATAACAGGAAATATTAAAAGAGACAACCTTATGGTCACTGAAAACAACATCTTTTATATGTAGATTATTAAGAGTGAGTCCATAAGTAAAAACCAGGTCTAAAGTGTGGCCTGCAGTGTGAGTAGGCTCAGACACAAGCTGTGAGAAGTTAAGAGTCCATAATATTAAGAAAGTCCATAGCAGGATGGCTTGTTGGATCATCGACATGGAAATTAAAATCTCCAGAGATGATGATCCTATTTAGCTTCACTGTAGAAGATAAAAAGTCCTGAAAGTCTGAGAGAAAAGATGAAACAGGTCCAGGTGGTCGATAAAACAGGATGGCATATATAGGTTCAACTTTGTCTATTCGGACCATGATCATCTCAAAGGAGTTGTAGGTAGATGAAGTGATCATTTGACATGAAAAAGTCCTCTTATAGATGACATCAGTGCCACCTCCACGGCCTGTCATCCGTGGTGCAGATAAAAAAGAACACCCCTCAGAAGAGTTCCAGGAGATGTGAAACATCATTTTCACGCTGCCATGTCTCAGAAATAAACAAAAAGTCTAAGCTCTCAGAGCTAAAAAAGTCATTTAAAATGAAGGACTTATTGGCAACAGAGCGTGCATTTATTACCGACATTTTAGTGGAGAAAGCTGCTGACCGTGTAGAGGGGTCCACAGCGGCATCAGGATGACGTGGCAAGCTGCGCAGTGAGTTGGGATTCCTCCCGCGGTGAACTTTGGATGCCCACAGCTTCAGGTGACAACCTGTGTGGGAAACTTCTGGGAGCGTTTGAACTAATCCAGCATCAACATATCTGAGGTTGAATCGCCTGACCGCACCCGATGCTGCCTCATTTTTCCAAAGCCGACGGAGCAGCACGAAGAAGCCGGCTCTCTTCCCTCACTTCCTTCACCTGCATGTCCAGAGCAGGGACAGATCCACAGGTAAGAGAGGAGAGACGCTGGGAGGGGCACCGGGTTCCAGCGGTGGTGGAAATGTATGGTATGGTATAAATGGTATGGTATAAAGTTTATTCATTTAAAAAAAGTACAAAACAATTCCATAACAATATAAAAAAAAAAGATACAAGAGATTTAAAATGAAAGGCAGCAGAAAGAAGAAAAAATCTTATCATATCTGCCCCTTTTTTCAAACAATTATTTCAATCATAATAATTTTCAAGTAGTGGTGGAAATGTAACTCCATTTTGATGACACTGAAGGTTGACCATCACAGACTTGATCGCCAGTAGCGAGTGGCGGTCATATGTCCGCAAGGAAGCCACCCCAGACAGAAACATAACAATAAAATAACATATGAAGTAAGCAAACAACCTGGCAGAGGCCAAGCCAAACACAGGTGCCATCTTGCCACGTCACACCATTTGAGTCAATCACATTCACTCTGCATTTTTACAGGAAATGCAATTTCTCTGTTTATATTTGCATTGCGAAGCATTTTGTGGACCATTTGGCTGTTGGAAAGAGTTCTATAAATAACGATTGATTGTTGGAATTTGATTGGGTTAAACTACACTCACAACAGCACAGTCTAAACTCTACATCACAGCAAAACAGCAAAGACTTGCCTTCCATTGTTGGTCCTTTTAGTGATTTAACCAGATCATCTAGAAAACATGCAGAACAGTCAGAGTTTCATAGAAAACCATCTTTGTTTATGTGCAGTGATTCTCATCTCCTATTGATCTTGAAGAATAAATCTGTATGTCTGATCATCAGATTCACCTGTTTGCCCTGCAAAAGGCCTGGTGAAGGGTCTCTTGTCCGTTTTGTTTTCCATTTCTTCTTCTTCTTCATCCACCTCTGTGTAAAAACTGCCGAGCTTCTGCACCAGTTCAGACACTTCCTCTGAGATTGGGATGGTCTCCAAAATCTCATAATATACATGGAGAAAAATGGTTACTGTATGATGACAGATCAGTAGAAAGGTCTAATAATACCTTAACTTTTAATAGCTGTGACTGACATACAATAATTTTATGTGATGTCAAGAGGGAATGACAATGACTTTCCCTGAAAAGGACTCACCAGCTGGATGTGCTCAATATAATTTCTCATAGCTTCCTCCTTTGTCATGTTTCCCAGAGAGCTCCATGTATCCCTGGCAACACAGAGTCAAAGTTCAACACCGAGGAGAACAGCAAACAGTGAATGACTGAAGCTGTGCAGAGAAACAATATGAAATGATCTCATCTGACATCATTCTGTCTCTGTTTGGGTCTGTCCATGTTTGTATGGAGCAGAAGTGCTGGTTGTACAAACCCAACTCTGGAGAAGTTGGGACAGGACTATACATTTCCCCTTGTAGAGCATCCTCTCTTCCTTTAACTCTTAAAGTCTGGGAACTGGAGAGAGCAGGATAGGCACAAATTCCAGTCATAAATCTTTTGTATCCTGATACATGCTCAATAATCAAGGCAGAAAAATCTAAAAAAGTTAAATCTGGTCCTCTGGAGTAGAATTCCTCTGGTGGAGATGATCACAGCCACAGAATCAGCCATCCGCAACAACAAATGAAAGAGGGTGAAGCAGAACAACTCAGAATCAAAGTTTCATCCTGCCTCAGCAATGGCTGAATTAAAAAATTCAAAACAAAAAAATTAACCATTGTTTCATCAGTCTCCATGATGACATCCCTCACCTTAGCCACAAAGTCCATGGTGTTCTGTATGTGGTGTTCTGAGCTGCCAACTAAAGGGATGAGTACAGATGCCAGATATTTGGAAACATTGTAAGTGACAGAGTTAATCATGCTAACAATAGGTCTTAAAGGTACGCCTTGTTTGTGGATTTTAGGTAAACCATACAGACTAGGTGTGGCCTCCCCTGGGTACAGTCTGTGGTACAGAAAACGGTCAATAGCCTTGTCCTGTTCCAAAATTTTCAGGCAATCTATCAATTTCTTCTTGTAACCACTTCCTGGATCTCTTTTCAGAGGTTCATAAGTGTTTAAGACACTAAGGAGTGTCATAACTTTCTCATGATAGTCTTTCTGGTTCAAAATCACTGTGCACCTTCCTTTGTCTGCTGGGAGGATGATGATGTTTTTGTCCTTGCTAAGAGTGGTGAGTGCATCCCTCTCTACTGATGTTGGAAGGTGGTGGTTTGGCATTGCTGAGGCAGGATGAAACTTTGATTCTGAGCTGTTCTGCTTCAGCCTCTTTAATTTTGTTGTTGCGGATGGCTGATTCTGTGGCTGTGATCATCTCCACCAGAGGAATTGTACTTGGTGCAACCGCAAAGTTCAGTCCCCTGGCAAGAATCTCTGTCTCTGGCTGGGTGAGCTGTCTGTCAGATAAATTCTTCACCCACTTTTCTGTCTCCCTGGCATGTAATTGACTACTGGAGTGTTGTCCTACACTGAATGTGTTGTTATTGGAATAGTGATGGTGTTGATGAGTTATTAGTAAGTTAAACTTGTTTTGTTGTCGAGTCTTGGACTTGACATGCTGTGCTAAGCGTGCCTGATCTGTACAGTCCAACACTTGCTGAAGTGTGGTCTGATCTAGACACGTTGTTAGTTTCTGTTTAATGTGCTCTTCTTTGACCTTCAAGAACTCAATAGTAAAACTGGTCTGTCTCACCCGTTCTTTCAGCACTTTGTGGATAAGGTGAGGGATGTCATCATGGAGACTGATGAAACAATGGTCTCTTTTGATGTCACATCACTCTTTACGTGCATTCCTGTTGATGATGCAGTAGAGGTGGTCAGTTTAAGATTAAAATCAGACATCACTCTGAGCAGCAGGACCACGCTTTCCACAGAACAACTGTGTCAACTCTTGAAACTGTGCCTGCAGTCAACCTACTTCACATATGGGGAGCAATATTATAGGCAGACACATGGGTGTGCTATGGGGTCTCCAGTTTCTCCTATTGTTGCCAACCTGTACATGGAGGAGGTAGAAAAGAGAGCCTTGACATCCTTTTCAGGGACACCACCAAGTCAATGGTTCAGGTATGTTGACGACACCTGGGTTAAAATTAAATCTCAGGAAGTCCAACATTTTACTGACCACATCAACTCTGTGGATAAATACATCAAGTTCACACGAGAAGATGTAAAAAATGGCAGGTTGGCTTTCTTGGACTGTGAGGTCTCAGTCTCTGATAGAGGACATTTGCAAACCGAGGTGTACCGCAAACCCACCCACACAGACCAGTATTTGCAGTTTGACTCCCATCACCCTTTGGAGCACAAGTTAGGAGTCATCAGGACTCTGTACCACAGAGCAGACAGCATCCCCACTAACTCAGGAGCCAGGCAGAAGGAGAAATCCCACACAAGACAGGCTCTAGAGCAATGTGGATATCCTAACTGGGCCTTCCTGAAAGCAGAGAAGAAACCCAAACAAGACTCCAGTCAGCCAACAGGTGAAAAGGAGGAACCCAGACCCAGACCAGTGGTCATTCCATATGTTGAGGGAGTATCAGAGAAACTGAGACGTTTATTTTCTAAACATAACGTCCCAGTGGCTTTTAAACCACAAAATACATTAAAGACTGGTTCATCCCAAAGATCCAGTCCCCCGGCACAAACAGAGTAATGTTGTGTATGTTGTTCAGTGTCAGGAGGGTGATCAGTCTTACATCGGGGAAACTAAACAGCCACTGGCCAAAAGGATGGACCAGCACAGAAGATCAACATCATCAGGCCAGGATTCTGAGGTCTACACTCATCTCCAGACCAGCGGTCACTCTTTCAAGGATGAAGGTGTGCACATCCTGGACAGAGAGGAACGATGGTTTGAGAGAGGAGTAAAGGAGGCCATCTTTGTGAAAAGAAACCGTCCATCATTAAACAGGGGCGGAGCCTCCGGGTTCAACTGTCCCCCTCTTACAATGCTGTGATTGCTAGTATCACTCAGCCCTCTGTGAACAGTAAACAGCCATCAGTGTGCTAATGATCCATTGTTAGGCTGATGGTCCTTCTTGAGCATGTGATCAGCTGGTTTTGGTTGTCAGCAGCAAACTGGTTGATCCACTCTGAGAAGGTGCTATTTAAGAGACTGAGCTGAATACAGCACCTCAGACTGAGGAAGTCTTTCTGAGAGACGAAACGTTTCTATATTTTTTTGTTGTTTTGCTTTGTTTTAATTTTTTTGAATGTCTAGAGGACCAGATTGAACTTTTTTAGATAAATCTTTTGTGTTTCTAAATCAGTTTTGTAACCTTGTAAAATTAATTTGTGATTTGTGAGTGAGTAGATGGGAATTTGCGTGCAAAAAAGCTTTGTATTTGTAAAAATTAAGATACAAATCTGTTCTGTTCTATTTACAGACAAGAAGCCAAAAATTGTGTAAATCTCTTCCTGTGACTTCCATTTTACAAACATGAATTTTGACAGATTTTTCTTCCTCTCAACTGATTGGTGTCATGTCAATCACAAATTTCAGAGTCAGAGTCATGGAGTCTTTATTGTCGTTTCAGCACATGTGGTACATGTGGTGGAATGAAATAATGTACACAGGGTCCCAGTTACATCCAACAATAAAATGTCTAAGAAAAACAGTAATAACATCTAAGATATGAACTAAGAAAAACATCAACTAAATATACACTAAGCACTCATAACATAAAACATTGAACATCAGCACAAACATGAACATGAGTCTGTGAGCAGATGTGCACGCATGAACACATCAACATTGAAACAGATCAGCAGCAACATGAAACAGATCAGCAGCAACATGAAACAGATCAGCAGCAACATGAAACAGATCAGCAGCAACATGGAACAGATCAGCAGCAACATGAAACAGATCAGCAGCAACATGAAACAGATCAGCAGCAACATGGAACAGATCAACAGCAACATGAAACAGATCAGCAGCAACATGATATGGTTTTTCACAGTGATTATTCTAGTTAGAGATTCACGAGTCTAACAGCCTCAGGGTAGAAGCTGTTCCTCAGTCTAGTGGTTCTACACTTAATGCTCCTCAACCTCCTTCCTGAGGGGAGTGTGGCAAAAAGTGTGTGTGCTGGGTGAGTGGGGTCCTTCATGATGCAGGTGGCCCTCTTCCTGCATCTGGAGGTGTAGATGTCTGTGATGGTGGGGAGACTGACTCCAACAGATTTCTGTGCAGCCTTCATGCCACACGTTGATGCTGGAGCACAGGATGCTCTCCACTGCACACCTGTAGAAGGAGGTGAGGACTGAGCTTCCCAGACCAGCTCGCCTCAGCCGCCTGAGGAAGTAGAGTCTCTGATGAACTTTCTTGATCAGGCTGGTGGTGTTGTTGCTCCAGCTGAAGTTGTTAAAATTGTTAAACGGTTCTTAAACTGAGAGAATGTATCATTTTAAGGGAAAAATCTGTTGTTTCCAAATTTCATGGCATCAACAAATCCCAAAAAAGTTGGGACAAGTCCATTTTTACCACTGTGTGGCATCCCCCCTTCTTCTTACAACACTCAACAGATGTCTGGGGACAGAGGAGACCAGTTTCTCCAGTTTAGAAATAGGAATGCTCTCCCATTCATGTCTAATACAGGCCTCTAACTGATCAATCATCTTGGGCCTTCTTTGTCGCGCCTTCCTCTTTATGATGCGCCAAATGTTCTCTATAGGTGAAAGATCTGGACTGCAGCTGGCCATTTCAGTACCCGGATCCTTCTCCTACGTAGCCATGATGTTGTGATTGCTGCAGAATGTGGTCTGGCATTATGGTGTTGAAAAATGCAGGGTCTTCCCTGAAAGAGATGACGTCTAGATGGGAGCATATGTTGTTCTAGAACCTGAACATAGTTCTCTGCATTAATGGTGCCTTTCCAGACATGCAAGCTGCCCATGCCACAAGCGCTCATGCAACCCCATACCATCAGTGATGCAGGCTTCTAAACGGAGCGTTGATAACAACTTGGGCTATCCTTGTCCTCTCTGGTCCGGATGACATGGCGTCCCAGTGTTCCATAAAGAACTTCAAATCGTGACTCATCTGACCACAGAACAGTCTTCCATTTTGCCACACTCCATTTTAAATGACCCCTGGCCCAGTGCAAACGTCTGAGCTTGTGGAGCTTGCTTAGAAATGGCTTCCTCTTTGCACTGTAGAGTTTCAGCTGGCAACGGCAGATGGCACAGTGGATTGTGTTCACTGACAATGCTTTCTGGAAGTATTCCTGAGCCCATTCTGTTATTTCCTTGACAGTGGCATTCCTGTTTGAGGTGCAGTGACGTTTAAGGGCCCGGAGATCACGAGCATCCAGTAGAGTTTTACGACCTTGACCCTTACGCACAGCGATTGTTCCAGATTCTCTGAATCTTTTGATGATGTTATGCACGGTTGATGATGATAACTTAAAAGTCTTTGTTATTTTACGCTGGGTAACACCATTCTGGTATTGCTGCACTATCTTTCTGTGCAACAATGGTGGAATTGGTGATCCTCTTACCGTCTTGGCTTCAGAGAGACACTGACACTCTGAGAAGCTCTTTTTATACCCAGTCATGTTGTCAATTGACCTAATTAGTGTTAATTGGTCTTCCAGCTGATCGTTATATGCTCAATTTCCTTTTTCCAGCCACTTATTGCTACTTGTCCCAACTTTTTTTGGGATTTGTTGACACTGTGAAATTTTGAATCAACATATTTTTCCTTTAAAATGTTACATTTACTCAGATTAAACTTTTGAACTGTCATCTATGTTATATTACGAATAAAATATTGACATTTGCCATCTCCACATCATTGCATTCAGTTTTTATGCACAATTTGTTTAGTGTCCCAACTTTTTTGGAATCTGGTTTGTTTTTAAGATGCTCAAGCCCCGTTTCACATCCCGTTCCACACGTATTATACGTTACAAACAGCTCGTTTTTTATATTCAGACAGTGGTTCATTTGAGTCGGATCCTGTCAGAACAAGATCCTGGAACTCTATCATTTTGACCACTTGGATCCGCCTACTCCGCCACTAAAAGTCCAAAGTCATTGCACATTTTTATTTTGATTATTTATTAAAAGTACAACGAGTGGATGTTCTGGCCGCATCACGCTCCTGCCAGCAGAGACATGGACTGCATGTCCCGCAGGGAGTGTCTTCATCCTCCTCCAGCTGTGCGCGCTAAGACAGTTGTTTTACGCCCAGCGTCTCCAGACAGCTCTACAGGACGCGCGCACAACTGCTGTGTTGGAACTCCTGCATACATTACAGTGCATAACATTTCAGACATAATAAGATTACAGTAAAAAAACACAAAAAACGAGTGAAATGTTTGATGTGTATTACATCACGTATCAAAACAACGGCACTAATTAGTTAAATAACAGCGACCAAAATGTTGAAAAGACAATTTATCTAAAATAAATGGATGGATGGCAGTGAGACTGGAGCAAAACACACAGGACTGAATTCAGCTGAGAAGAGTTCAGGTCGGCACTCGGCAGTGTGTGTGTGGGGGGGGTTGGGTTAGGACACACAGACTGTCAAGGACGTGCATTCATACACAGGTTTGTTAATTGTTGTTGCTCTCTAAAATAGTAATTTCAATTCAACCTTTATTTACACAGGTTGTTAGTCTCATTGAGCCTCGTCATTTACAAGATAATTGTTTTTAATCAATTTATACAAATGTTTAACAACCTGTTAAAATACACCAAAATGCAGGAAATGGCATCTCTTATTCCAGATTTTCTGGGAGAGGACACAAAGATCACAAGCATCAAATAATAACTTTTTAGATGTTTTTTCACAGAGTGGTGAATCTCTTCTCATCTTTACTTCTAAGAGATTCCACCACTCTAAAATGCTTTTTTTTTTTTTTTTTACCCAATTCTCGTTGTTGATAATTAATAATTACCAGTAGCGGCAAAATGCTCCTTCAGTTTCCTATTAGAATCTTTTACTTTCACAACCTGTTGTTGTCTTGTTACAACTTTTTTCATATGTGTTGTTATCATCAAATTTAAAATGATCTTTCTTTAATAGTGCACTTTCTTAGTTTTAATATTTAATTTGATCCCATTTTACCATGGCAGCACGGTGGCACAACAGGTAGAGCTGCTGCCTCTCAGCGAGCAGGTCCCTGGTTCAAATCCCGGTCTGGGGGCCTTTCTGGGTGGAGTTTGTATGTTCTCTCCGTGCATGTGTGGGTTTTCTCCGGGTGCTCCGGTTTCCTCCCACAGACCAAAAACATGCATGTTAGACTGATTGGTAACTCTAAATTGTCCCTAGGAGAGAGAGAGAGACTGAATGGTTGTTTGTCTCATTTGTCTCTATGTGTCCCTGTGAAGGACTTGTGACCCGTCCAGGGTGTACCCCGCCCCTCGCACAGTGATTGCTGGACATGGACACCGGTGACCCCCGTGACCCAAAATGGAAGAAGCGGGTAGAAGAAAATGGATGGATGCTTTGCTGTGAGTATGATATGGCTTTATCAGATTTGTAAATCACTGCATTGTTTTCATTTACACTTAACACAACTTTTCACTTGTAACTGGACTGGGGTTAAGTTCGTATAATTATATTTTCTTTATTAGTTTCATTACTTTAAAGGCTATACCATTTAGTTTTTCCTCGAGTGTCCCAGATGCAGACTGGCCTGGGGATGTTGCATGGCCCCACAGTGGCTTGCTTGTAGTAACTATAAAACATCAGCATCATGTCATCAGATGGCTGGAAAGGACCTGAGGAATGACAAATCTGTTCTTAGTGTTTATACCTGGTTAAATAAAGGTGCAAAAAGGAAGCTCATAAAAACATGGGACAAGTATCAATAATTAATTATTTAAACAACGATTTGCAATATAGCACAGTGGCGCAACTGGTAGAGCTGACACCTCTCAGTGAGGAGGTTGCTGGTTCAAATCCCGGTCCAGGGGCCTTTCTGGGTGGAGTTTGCATGTTCTCTCCGTGCATGCGTGGGTTTTCTCCGGGTACTCCGGTTTCCTCCCACAGACCAAAAACATGCATGTTAGGCTGATTGGTAACTCTGAATTGTCCCTAGGTGTGAGTGAGAGAGTGAATGTTTGTTTGTCTCGTTTGTCTCTATGTGTCCCTGTGATGGACTGGAGACCTGTCCAGGGTGCACCCCGCCACTCGCACAGTGATTGCTGGACATGGGCGACCCCCGTGATCCAAAATAGAAGAAGTGGGTAAAAGTTAATGGATGGATGGATGGATTTGAAAAGGTACACCTTTCTTTAGAAGGCTTTCAATAATGCTGACAAATATACACATAAGAACAGCAACTCAACCATGTGGGTCAAAGGAACCATCTGCAGAGCTCACAATGTTGCAAGGCACAGATCTGTGGAAGAATACAAAAATGTCTGCTGTACTAAAAGTTCCTCAGAGCTCAGTGGCATCCATAATTCTCAAATGGTGAAGGTTGGCTCAATCAGAACCAAGCCAACTGAAGCCCAGGGGGGCTAAGAGTGGACCCACACCAGCTCAACACCTCTCATCATGGGCAACTCCAGAGATGAGTAAGGTCCTGGCCCTCTCAAGGAGATTGGTTCTGGAGCTCATGCTGTGCGTCAAGGTGAGCCCAACTATGTCTAGTCGGTACCTCTCAACCTCACACACAAGCTTAAGCTCCTTTACCACCAGAGAGATTATGTTCCATGTCCCAAATCAATCAATCAATCAATCAACTTTATTTATATAGCACATTTTAAAAACCACAAGGGTAGCCACAGTGCTGCACAATAAAACAATAAAAACAAACAAAACAATAAAAACATACAAAGCACAAACAAAGAAACATAAAACCCATTCACATACCAGTTTCACAGCAGGTTTATTAAAAAGCCATAAAAGATAAGATCACGTGTTAAAAGCCAAAGAATAAAAGTGTGTCTTTAAAAGAGATTTAAAAACAGGAAGAGAGGAGGCCTGTCTCACACTCAAGGGTAAAGTGTTCCACAACCTGGGAGCAACAACAGCAAACGCTCTGTCACCTCTGAGCTTCAGCCTAGTTTTAGGGACCGTCAGCAGCAGCTGATCAGCTGATCGTAGGGATCGGGGTGGACAGTAAGGCTGAAGCAGCTCAGACAGATATGGTGGGGCAAGGTTGTTCAGACATTTAAAAACAAACAGCAAAAGCTTAAAATTAATTCTGTAGTGCACAGGGAGCCAATGAAGGGACGCCAGGATGGGAGTAATATGCTCGCGCCTACGAGCCCGAGTTAACAGGCGAGCAGCAGAGTTCTGCACAAGCTGCAAACGAGCAAATGCCAGTTTTGGTGAGCCAGGGTCAGAGTGCCAAGGTCCCCAACCATGACACAATGGCCCCGGTCCTGTATGGCCCCTCCTGAAGATGGTGGGCCCACAGGAAGGCAAACCCATGTAATTCCTTCGGTCTGTGCCCGACTGGACCCCATGGGTACAGGCCCAGTCATCAGGTTCTTGCTGACGAGCCCCTCCCCAGGGCCTGGCTCCAGGGTGGGGCCCCAGTAACCTATGTCCAGGCAAGCGACACCAAGCGACACCATTGCACGACTACAACTGGTCCAGAATGCAGCAGCCCGATTTTTAACCAGTACAGGCAAAAGAGAGCACATTACACCAGTTTTGGCCTCACTGCACTGGTTACCGGTTCACTTTCGAATCCAGTTCAAAATACTCATGTATGTCTACAAATCACTGAACAGTGGCCCCCCCCCCCCCCATCTCTCTGATCTGCTACAACCGTATGTCCCACCACGCTCCCTGAGGTCAGCGGACCAGTTGCTCCTCACAGTTCCAGGAACTCGTCTTAAGCACAGAGGTAACAGGGCCTTCTCTGTAGCAGGACCAAGACTTTGGAACGAGTTACCTCTGCTTGTCAGACAGGCCCCCTCCCTCTCAGTTTTCAAGTCCCGTTTAAAAAGTCACTACTATTCAGTAGCTTTCAACACCAGATGATCTGTGTTTGATCCTGTATGCTCCACACTGGTTTGTCGTCATTATCTGCATCGTTTTTATGTCTATATTCTGATTTACCTCATTTTGTATTTTGCTTTGTGTGTTACCTGTTGTTCTGTCTGTACAGCACTTTGGTTGGCCTTGTAGCTGTTTTAAGTGCTTTATAAATAAAGTGGTATGGTAAGCTCCTTGATCTTTTTTGTCAGTCAGGGTTGAGGGAAAGTTGAATGGAACAAAATACAGAAATATCCTCAAGTTTTGACAGAGCTCTGACTGGACCTTCAGCCATGACAATGACCCAAAACACAGAGAAGACAACACAAGCAGCTTAGGGAGAGCTTTATAAACGCCCAGCATGAGCTCTGACTTGAACCCTGAACATCTCTGTAAAGGACTAAAAATGGCTCCACCAATGGTCCAATCCAACCAGACTGAGCCTGAGAGGATTAATACTTGCAGCTCTGCATGTAGGTCACTCACCTGGTGTGTTTACGCTCCAAAAGGGCACAAATTCCACTGACCAATGCACAAAATCAGCCAATTTAACCACTTTGCAGAACAAATTGAAGTTGTCATCACCTTCTTCAGGTAAACTCTGGATTACTTGAACTGCAGAGGCAAATTTCTCCCCCAGGCTGTGTTTGTCCTCCTCTTCCTGCTGCGCCATGCTGAGTCCAAACAGGGATGGCATGAATCAGCCTCCTCACATCTTCAACCAGAACAAAAATCCAAATCAAGATACATTAGGGTGATGAAAAGGATTCTTCTGTTTTCATTGAGGTTGCAGCTATGGCAGACTGTATTTTACCAGATGCATTCTTGTCTGTGGCTGAATTACATAAAACTCACCATATGTTGTATTCACCGGTGGAGCAAAGACCTGCTTATAGAATAATCCCAGTATCTGCTTCAGTAAGAAAGTCAGTTCCTCCAGTTAGGGATGAGCCAAGACCAGTAAACGTTTGGATCCTCGAGGAAGTAGGAGGAATGTAGTTTTTCTGGGGCTAAATGTTGATGAAAAGTAGCTCATGGCCCTTCAAATCCCATAAGCACCCCCTTAACGGGGATTTAAACCGCAAAGGCCTATGGGAAATGTAGGTTAGAGGATTTTGTCAACGCTTAAGGAAGGGAAGGGAGGGTTGAAACGACTTTGCTCGCATGCATTGTATTTCTTTGAGATATTAGATACATGTTAGAGTTTATGTATATTAAAGGGAACTTTTAAATTTTACATTTGTGCATTTTTTTCCTCACTCATTATTTATAAAATAGAACTTGTTTTATTTTGAGGAAGAATATTATTGTCCCACATTTGTTATGTATTGATATTTATGATTAAATGTGCGTTGATAATCGATACAAAATATTTTTACCATCACCTTATTAATTATATATTCTCATATAATTACATTTTATCTACACGCTCCACGGCAGTGAAACGTGATTGTTGACTCCGCCTTCTCCGGCTCCTTAGCCAATCAGCGTTCGCCGTTTTGGCCGTAACTCCGGTTGGTTACGTCCCGTTGTGAATCGGAGGCTGGCGGAGGCGCGTGCTCGTCAGCGGCGCAGCATCACCGCCTCGTCTCGCTGAAAACAGGCAGACACGAGGGAAATGCGAAGGGGCGGAAGATGGCAGAGCTACAGATGCTGTTAGAGGAGGAGATCCCCGCCGGGAAGAGAGCGCTCGTGGAAAGCTACCGGAACCTGTCCCGGGTGGCGGAGTACTGTGAAAACAATTACGTTCAGGTAGGAGGCCGCTGTAACGGAAACGCTCCGGGCGCGTCCGTCGTGTCCGCGCTGCTGCAGCCGGTGGGAGTGAGGCCACGGGCCGGCTCGAGCCGCCAGCCTGACCGAGTGGCCTCGTGCCCCGTGGGCTCGGCGGAGGGCGTGTCGTTGTCATGGCGCCGCGCGCTCATGCGCCTGCAGCCGCACGCACGGTGTGCACAACACGTTCACGTTTCAAGCCACAGAGGGAACAAAGAATCTGAATTTAAATATAAAAGGACACGAGTTGAACCAATAACATGTATATGAAGTACTGCGCACACGTTTTTCTGGCTCAAAGTTCCAGCCTGACCCCTTCATGAGTTCTTCATGAGTTCTTCATGAGTTCTTCATGAGTTCTTCA